TCGTAAATACACGATGGAGAGGACCTCGGGTCGACTGATTTCGAGGGGAATTTGTTTTCTTCATTCTAGCACCTTTGAGTTTGATCCTTGAGCCAACGTTGTTCCATTGTCCACTGCTACCGCGAGTTTCGTTGGTCACGCGAGAGGAGACATTTCGTCTGCTCTGAATGATGAACGTTAATGATACACGAAAAATTTCTACGCAACAGAGGAAAGAAATAAGTCCAAAAGGGCTTAACGATTTTCGAGCTTTCCGCCAGCTCTTCTAGTTTTCTCACTGCCACTGCGTTTTCGTTACTCTCGTTGACGTATCTACCTAGTTTTTCACGAAGGAATTTCACGCACGCCCGTGCGAACGAAATGCACGCGAGTGCACGTAAAGCATAAGTGAGGCGTGTGATTAAAGTATAATACGGGGGATACTGCTACAGCAATATAATTTCGTTGAAACGGCGAGTCGTTCGCGCGGAACGCGAATCATTGTACATAGTGTATGATTGTGAATTAGATTTACGACGGTGTGTGTAATTAAGAGAAAGGGGATTGGGAATGGGGCAAACACGGTGAAAGTAAGCGGAAGTCAGACGTTAAAAAAAAAAAAAAAAAAAAAAATTGGGGCGAACGATTGGAATCGAAAGACGGCAGGCATAAATTTGAATCGATTGGCAGCGATCGAAGTACAGAGTGATTCAAGTTTATGGTGCTCGGGATAATTGAGTCGTTCTTTTCTTTTCCCTTGGGTCTCTCGACGCATCTTTTTTGGTGGCGTACAAGAATTTATATATAAATATATAAATATATATATATTATATATACATATACGTATATGTATACACGATGATGAATTCGTCATATTTACGTTTTATTGTAATTTTACATGATCCATATCTGATCGTTATGACACATTTCAAACAATAAAGAGAAACGTCAGGCAAGATCTTTTGTCGGCATGATCTTTCATTTCCACGACCTTGCAACAATTCGCAATCTTCTACGATTTGGGAGCCAGGTAAGAACCCGTATCCGTGTTACTAATTGTAAGATATTTTCTAGAGACAATGATTTTTTTTTTTTTTTTTTTCAAAATTGGACAACTTACACGAATTTCGTTATGCGAGCGTGAGAAAGGTACGACCTGTCTGTTTTCGGAGTCGTAACCGTAGCCCTCAGGTAACCCCGTTGCGCAATATTAATTCACTCGATGTTTTACGTAATTGCTTAAACTCGCTTGTGGAAGCACGTTATATCTGGCTCCGTTATTCGCGTCTTGCATCACGATTGCGCAAGCGTAAAGTATAATTCTCACAAAGTTTCGTAATCTTATCGCTTCTCGCTAAAATCGTAGAGTCACGCCAGACTTGTTAATTCTTAAAAGGCTTAATTAGAAAATATACGTCGCGGTCTCGCGGTCTCGGTCGTTACGTCCTTTGTGCTAAAAAAATACCGTTTCCCTTCCTCCTTTTGCTTGTTTAACCTTTGTGAACACTGTCCTCCAAGAACGTACGTACTTCACGCTGCCAGAAATATCTCGTCCTACGAAATATGCTACATTGGCTTCTTTGAAATTGCGATAATTGAAAATTTCCTCGTGAAGGTGCTAGAACCAGCGGGAAAAACGGAAAGTAGCGAAGAGATTGAAACGCAAGGTACAAAAAGAAGTTATCTTATTAAAAATCACTCGAGTATCTAAAATATATATATAACATTTTCATAGGAAATTGTAAATTGGTAATTTCGACTCACTGTCGCGTTTGATCGACTGATTTAAAAAAAAAAAAAAAGAAAAGAAAAAAAATGCCAGTACACCATAAATGTTCTACTACCAAATTCCCATGCCGAGTGTACAGAATTTCTGTTTCTGCTGGGTCGTCAATCTTCGTTGGCAGCAGCACGGATCGTCCGCGTGAAAACTATCTCGGAGCGTGAGGATCGCGGCTGCTGGCCGATAACAGGACCAGGCGGGATAAAAGCGATTAGAGATGGCGAAAGGGGAGGAACGATTTAGCGGACGGCAAACACACAGTTGAAACACAGGGGAATCTAAATCCAGTCGAGGGAGGGATAGTGGCCGTAGTTGGACGCAGCCCCTTTTCGAATCATCCAGCGGCCCGGTGTACCGATATTGACCTATCGGCCGAGAATGCACAGGCTCCTCTTCCTTCGAGCCGATTCGATTTCCAGATTAATTAAGGACCGCTGGCCTGAAAGGACACCCTCGACCATCCTTCCGAGCGTCGAACTTCCGAAGGAAGGAAAAGCGTAACGAGACCACGCCGCCGACTCCTGCCCCGGTTTCACGAGACACCGATCTCGGTAATGACATTTTTTTCCCTGATTTCCTTCCTCCGGCCAGACGCGCTAGCGCAGGCACGTTAATGAGAAACGACCATTGGCCTGATACGAATCCCCTGTCCCTGCCACTTGAGAGAATCGTTAACAACGCGATCGACAAAAGCCGCACAGTTGTCTGTTGGCCTAGCCTCCGGCTGTTACAGCAAGGAGTCAGACTTGTTTACGATTCATGGGGAAACATTTCGAATTGATCGATCGAACTGATGGTTGACAGTGGCCTGTAGTGGTTTGTCTCGTGCTGCGGTCTGTACGTATGCTCGCTGGTTGGTTAATAAAATTCTCTTCAGAGAGTGCTCCTTTTTTCTTTTTTCTTTTTTTAAGTACTTATTAGTGTGTGAAGTTTAAGGATCGACCAGGTTATGAATATTTACCAACAGTTTAAATTAGATAGTTCTTCTTATTATTATCATTCTTGAAGTTTAACGATTGATCAGTTGTTTACGAATAGTTTAAACTATGCAGACCTTATTGTTCTTGTACGTTTATTCAAATATTTGAAATATCTGAAAAGTCCCGGATATTATAATACTTTCAATTTTTCTTTTTTGTTAATACCTATTGGTGTGTGAAATTCAAGGATCGACCAGTTGTTTACGAATGATTTAAATTGTGCAGACACTGTCCTTATTGTTCTTGTACGTTTATTCAAATATTTGAAATATCTGGAAAGTCCCGGATATTATAATACTTTCAATTTTTTTTTTTTTTTTTTTTT